AGGCGGAAGGGCAGCCCCTTGCTCAAGCCTGGCTGTTTCGGCCAATCTTTGCTCCTCTGGAGCATGCTGATTACGGTGAGCTCCTGTCCACGTTTCCTGTCCACGTTTCCCGACGTTTCCCGACGTGCCAGTCTTCCCGACGTTTCCTGTCCACGTGCCATGGGCTGGAGGCGTCACACTCCGCGGTTCCATGAGAAGCAGCAGAAGTTCAGGTCCCAGTACAGTGTTGGCTCGAGGTGTGGTCATTGGTAGTCTGATTATCATGGGCACACTGCGTGCTCGAAGTGTTCTGCCCCGTACGTCGCCAAGCCCTCTGGCTGCGCGCGGGGTGGTCGTGGCGCTGGCTCTGGCCAACACGACAAGCAAGGCGAGCCAACCCTCGAGGATGAGATCGAGAGGCTCGCTGCCGAGTACACCGATCGTGTTGATGCCCTTCATGGTGCTCGCGGTCCTGTCCCTCTCCAGCCTGGTGTTGAGGCCCCCCATCCCCTCGAGCGATGACGACCTGGAGAAGAAGATCGCCAAGCGCCGCGCCGCCCTCGCCCGCGCCGTGGAGCGTGACTCCGAGGCTGAGCGCTTGGCCCTTTACGAGGTTGAACAGAAGCTTGCGGCGGTGGTGCGGCATCAGGAAGCTCTTGCACGTGCCGACGAGGCCCATGCTGAAGCAGTGGGCCAACTGGAGCAGGCTGCCCTTGTTCATCGTAAGGCGTACGAGGCGATTTACACGTTTGCCCCTCTTCAGCTCCGCGGGCAGATCCTGGCTGAGGAACACGCTGAACGTGAAGCTCGCGCGCGCGCGTCACGTGCGGCAGGTGGAGATGTACCAGCTCGGGCTCCTCCGGGCGCAGCTGCTGCGGCCGTGCCCCCAGGAGGCGCTCGACCTGCTGCGGTGCCAGGCGAGGGGCCGCCCCGCCCAGCCCCTCGGCCTGAAGCGCCTGAGCGACCAGCTAAGCCCGTGCATGGAGGAGGCGCGCAGAAGGGTGCAGTCGGCAATCCAGGTGTCGTTCCGCCCGTCCCGCCGAACCTCCACGAGATGGTCGTCGCGGAGCTCCGAGAGTGACGCACGACGAACGGCCAGAGATACGAATTTGAGGCACAAATTCGTGATGTCCAGGCCAACCCTCATGATGATGGTGCTTCAGGCATTTCTCACACCCGCGACGAAGCCGAACATCACGAAGAGTTGGACAACCTCAAGCAGCGCAGCATCAGCTCATCCCTGGCAGGCGAGGAGCTACTGCGCATGGAGAAGCGCATGCAGATGTCTGCCAATCCCAAGGCTGCCAAGGGGCTGCGCACCCTTCGCGACACGGCGTCTTCCAGCTTCGAACAAGTGCTGCAGCAACTGCGGCCTGCAGGTGTGAAGGCGCACCGGGTCCAAGTTCCAGTCCTTGCTGTTGCCTGTCCCAGTCGAGGTACCTCCCACGGGCGGCTCCGCGTCTGCAGGAGCAGGTGCCGATCAGCAGAGCCTTTGACGATACCAGGCCTGAGTTGATGAGGAAGAATACGAGCATAATCGATTTGCATTTTAACAGCATCACCTCGCAGAACAAGGTGACGCTTGATTTCTCGCAGCGAATCGAGCCAAAGAGTGATGGATCCGTTGTTGCCGATTATCATTTTGAAGTTGAAAGAGTTGGCCAAGGCCAACCGTAACGCAGCTCAGATAGGTTGGAGGCCTCATCTGTCTCCTGCTCTCCCCTCCCTTGGAGGGGGCACGCACGGGGGTTGTGCGATGTCTGGTTTCCAAAAATTTGTGCTTTCGTCGTTGCCTGGCCTGTCGCAACGGCCACTGCGACTATGGTCCGGGTCCGAAATGGCAGCTTTTGGAATTGAAAACGCAAGTCTTGCGTGATAGCTGTAGATGTGATCTATCTGATTTCGTACTTCGGATTCTCTGGGGAAAAGACCGATCGATTGAGGTCCGTTGCGGAGTTCCTGGGGGCTTCGGCCACTCCCTGGGTTATGATGGGTGACTATAACACTCCGCCTGCTGATCTTGAACTGTCTGGTTTCCCGCAGCTGGTGCGTGCTCGAGTGATTGTTCCAAGTGGTGCAGGCGTGGCTTGCACACGAGGACGTGTATCCCTTCTTGACTATGCGTTGGCACCTGCTGACCTTGGGGAGGACGTAAGCGCTGGTGCCTTCAACACCAGCCCTTTCAAGACCCATGTGTGCTTGGCCGTTTCCATCCAGCATGAGAATCCACTTCAGAGCATGAGGCAGCGTGAGAAACTCCCGCCCATTCCAGACTGTCTCGGCCAAGACATTCCTTGGAACCGGATGCTGCGTCAGCTGCCCGAGCCTGGACAGGTGGCCCCCAATTGCTTGCAGCAAGCGTTTTTTTCTTGCACGCGAAAGACAACCCGAGTGGGGACCTCACGAGCAAGCGGCTTCCCTGGTCGAAGGCGGCCGAAGCCGTGTTCGAGTCTACGGCGACTGCGCGCGACGTCAAGCATGGCGGCGCACACCGTGGAGACTTCCCAGCGTTCTCACGAACATTGCTCGGAAGGGGCCCCGAGGGCCAAACAATTCGGGAGCCCGGCTTGGCCTTGTTGGGCCCACCTCTGCCAGAAATGGATGGGGGTTCGTTTGTACCTGGCCAAGAAGTCTCCGCGAATGGTCGCTAGCATTGGCATTGTGTTGCAAGGCCTGGTAGACCACATCCGTGACCACCTCTGCGGAGACGACCCCCATGATGCTGAATGGTGGGAGTCTGTTGAATTGCCCACCCAAAGGAGGTGGACAAGCTTGACATCCTCCTGGATGCTACTTCGCAGTCTCTTCGTGCTGCGCGGTCTACTGCAAAGGCGTCCTCTGAGGAAGGGGGGGAACACATTGTTTTTGAATGCCCTTCCCACTGGGGCCAAACAGGTTCATGATTGGCTGAAGCACAACTGAAGTGACGCCCCCCCCTCCCCCCCCGCAATTTCTGGCTTCCTTTGCTGGGGCCAAGCAACCCACAGGGGAACCCATGGAGTATCGAGAACCGTTCTGGTCGAAGGCATGACGAAGTGGAGGACGAGGAGAAGGAGGAGGAGGAGGAGGAGGTGGACCTCCCACGAGTCGCGAGGCCACTCCGAGCTGCGTGCGCCGCTCACCGTTGCCGATGCCCGGCGGCGGCCCAGGTGTTTCCCCACCTCGACTGCAATTGGTGTCGGCCTCGGGGCCCCCATGCCGCTGATCGACCTTCCCAGGGATGTTGCTATGGGGTTCGCTCATATCCCCAATGACTGCGAGACCGCATTGGAGTGACCCTCCCAAGTTTTCTTTAGCACGATCGCCTTGCTCCCCAAGGGCGCGGAATATGATCGGTCAATATGTAAATGCCCGGCCCCGTGTAGTCGATTGCAAAGCTCGGAATCACGATTTAGATCTCTGGGCCCAAGACAAGTATAATGTTTGGGACACGCTATCAAAGGTTCCAGTGCCATGGAGGCTGCTGAGTTGCGAGAGCTAGGACATGAGGTCGCTAGGCTCCGAGGTCTCAGCTCGTTGAGCGCTCACTGGGGCCTCATCCAGATTTTTTGACTCTGCCGAGCCGCGCAAGCTCATCGACATGGCCGTTCAGATGAAGAATCGCTTGCACTTGCTCTACCTCTGTACTTTGATCCACGAACCCCCCACACGTTGAAGTTGCATGGGTGCGTGTCTGATACTGAAGGAGGCGGGGGGGTCCTGGCTAGGCGCGCGCAAGCTATACCCTGGGTTAAAACGACTCGTGCAAGACGTCCTGGGCACGGCCCAGGTGCATTTTCGGCCAGTGCAAATGAAAGAAGGTTCCGTCGACGACATCACTCAATCGCAACGAGGCACCGCTCACGAGATTCTCGGTGCCATCATCCCCCCCGCTGCGCTGCTCGCCACCAATCGCAGAGCCCAGCCTGCCCCCTCTCGGCACGGTCGGCCCAGGCCTGCCGCCGCGAGGATCTCGGCAAGCAATTGTCTTTACGTTTCCTAGCCGCGCGCCCCCCCCCCCCCCCCCCCCATTACCCGCCAGTCTGCTGCGAGAGACCTGGGGGCCATGACCGCGGCAGGAAAGAGATGCTGACTGCGAAGCTCACGCAGGGTCGGGCCCAAGCCTCCCAGAGGGCCGAACGCGCGCGTTGTTTGCCGCGCGTCGTTGGTAGAGCTAGCAAGCTTTATGAGCCTGGGGTCCTGGCGGCTGGTTCCTGGAGACATCAGGTGTTGGGCCCCGCTGGAGGCCGAATCCAGCTCACGAGGCACGAGAGCCCAAGCGGCCATGCGCTCTGGCTCTTGGGCCCCCTGGGGCCTGCGCCACTCCGGTTCTTGGGCTGGCGAGCTCTGCCAAATATGATCTCCAGCTTAGGCGTCGTTATGAACAGCTGATCGCGTTCCATGTTGCCTGACACGCCTCGGACCGCAAGATGCGGACGGAGCTTGCTAGCTGCTGGCAAGTTACCCTGGAGGCGCTTGGAAAGTCCAAACGCACATGACAGAGAAAGTCCGCGGA